GGTCGGGACGGCGGCCGCGGCAGCAGCTGCCGGCCGGACATCGAAGGCCCGTGCGGGAGGCAGGGATGGGCAGGGCGGGCCGGGTCCGCCTCCTCCTCCCCCTCCTCCTCCACCGCCTCTCCGCCTCCTCCTCCTCCTCTTCCTCCTCCTCCTCCTCCTCCTCCTCCTCCTCCTCCTCCTCCTTCTCAGGGGAGGAGGACCAGGAGTGAAAACCCAGAATATGCATCAGCGAGGCTGCAAGGCACCCTCCCGTCCCAAAGAAGTCCCCCTCCGCACGAAGTCTCTCCCTGCAGGCCTTCTTCCATTGGAGGAGGCGTTCCCCCTTGAACTAAGTCTCCTACAGGGGGATGTTGGACGAAATATAAACCATTGTCAAGTCATGTTCCCAAATGGTCAAGCGTAGTCGATACATCGTCTCCAGAATTTGTCTACCATTATTTTTGAACATTCCTCCTGCAGAGGGCCAGGCCCGACTCAGCCCTCGAGACACGAGCAGCCCCTTTGCGTGCCCTTCGGGCGAGGGCCCCGCCCCGAACACCGAATGCCTCGCATCCTTCCGGCGAGCTGCTGGCCATCGCTCGGACGTCCATTTCCTGTGTTTTTTTTCGGTTTCGTGCGTTGTCTTTTTTCGCGAAATGATCAAGGATGCTCCTCGATGGTCCTCGCCGAAGGAAAACTGCACACGTCCGAGCGATGCCAAGGCTGTTACCATGCTCACAGAGCTCGGGTCAGAAGCTTCAGCGGGGTGTCCAGCGGGAGTCCCAGTTTGGACAGGTGCCGCTCCTCGCGCGTGTAGGTGTTGTGCAACGTTGCGCTCCTGGCAGTGCCGTGTGAGGAAGTCTCCTTCGAGAGTACCAGTGTGACAGGGAGCCACCCACCATCCCTGCACTGCTGCACGTTCTTCAATCTTCAGGTCGTAGATTCTGAGGGAGACGGAATCGATAGCCCCATTTGGAAAAGATACCGCCCTCCATCCCTGTGACTATCGCAAGCTTTTAGAACGAATTTGCTGGGCGGTATGACGAGAGCGCTATTTCGCCCTCCGTCTGGTCAGCTGGCAACATTTTCAGACAAATGTGCGCGACGCTAGGGCGAGAGCTCAATTTTGAAGAGGTACCGGCCTACACCTTACTAACTGTCGCAAGCGTTTGAAGCAAAAGTCGCAGCGCTAGGGCGAGAGACACATTCTGAAACGGTACTGCCCTCCATGCTTGCAGCCATTGATTGGCCATCCATCATGGTCAGAAGTGGTGCGAGAGTCTCGGGCGAAACGCCTGGAAGGGGAAGTTCTGTCTTCGAGGGGAACGGAGGGAGGGATGTGGGCTTGCGACTTGCTTTGTGCAACGCGCGGAGGCAAGTCGACATCAAAGCGTGCTGCGGGCTGCGGGGCGACTAGCAGCAGTCAGGAGGGAAGAGGAGAGGAGCAGGAGAAGGGACGAGGACAAGGATGAGACGGTGGAGGGAGGAGGAGAGACAGAGAGGGGGAGGAGAGGAGGGAGGAGCAGGAAGAGGATTGGAGGAGGAGGAGGAGGAGGACCAGCAGGAGCGCCTTCGTCGTCGTCGGCGGCGGCGGCGGCAGCGGTGTCTTCGGATCGAGGTCTTGGGACATTTTTGGTTCTTTATGGGCCTCTGGAGACCACCCAAGGGCTCTGGAGGCGTCGTGAGACCTTCGGGGACCTCTGGTGATCTCTGGAATAGCTGGAGCGGCATGCCCAAGCCAGTGTGCACTCCCTGGCTTCCTCCCATACCTTGCTCCTTCCGTACCCTTGTCCACATCCGCTGCGCATTCGCCTGCTCTCTTGACCAAACTGCCTCCGTTTTCCTTCTCATCACCGTCCTCGTTTCGGGGGCGCCGGCGGGGCAGCGTTGTTTCCAGGGCCAGATCCCAATACTCTCGGCAAGCGCGCTTTGATCCGTCAATCTCGGGGGCGCGCAAAGATGGATTAGCGATCCATGGATTTGGCGCGCGGTCGCCAAATCCATGGATCGGGGGAGGTGCCCTCCCCAAAGTGCGGCCGGTGCCGCCTCGCTCGGCGGCAGAAATGCCCGATTTCCCAATGGAAACGGGACCCGTCGCTAATCCACGCCCCCTTGATGCATGTTTGCGATCGCCCGACAATAACAATCCTCACGACCGCCCTTCTCGAGAAGCTCTGATCTCCTCCTCCTCCTCCTCCTCCTCCTCCTCCTCCTCCTCCTCCTCCTCCTCCTCCTCCTCCTCCTCCCCCCCCTCCTAATCCTCCTTCTCCGAATCCAATCCAATCCATCCAATCCAATCCAATCCAATCCATCCAATCCAATCCTCCTCCTCCTCTCCTCCTCCTCCTCCTCTCCTCCTCCTCCTCCTCCCCCCCCTCCTAATCCTCCTTCTCCTGATCCAATCCTCCTCCTCCTCCTCCTCCTCCTCCTCCCCCGCCTCCTCCCCCTCAGCAATCCTCACGACCGCCCTCCTCGAGAAGCTCCGATCTCGGGCCTGCTCTCACCGGCGACGGGGCTGCTCAGGTCTGCTCGTGCCCCGGCCCTCCTCCGTCGCCCCACGAGGCACGGGAGCGCGCTAAGCCGCCCCTCTGCGGGCGGCTAGGCCCTCGTCCGCCTCCTCGGGCCTGCTCTCAGGTCGGGCATGTCCCCCTACCAGGCGGATTTTGGACGAAGCACTCGGGGATGGACAGACCCCGCTTTAGTAAAACGTGGTTTAGTGAAAACGACCTGGGGCCCACACCTGGCGCGCGCAAGCCTGGAAAATAACGGCCACGGCGCCCTCTCGAGAACCGAAAACGGACAACTCACTAATCGACGTGCCACTGTTGGGGGTTCTGTCCACCCCCGAAACAATAAAACATACCCAGAACACGTTCAGACATAGTCAAGCACAAACAATCCAACACACATCGTCCCCGTGCTGTTCTCTGACTGCCTGTGAACCTTCCTCCTGCAGAGGGACGTGCCCGGCTCAACCTTTACTCTCCTCCTCCTCCTCCGCCTCCTCCCCCTCCCTCTTCCCTGTCCTCCTCGTCGCTGTCGTCCTCCTCCTGCTCCCGCTCCTCCCGTCTCCTGCTCCCGCTCCTACTCCCGCTCCTCCTCCTCCTCCTCCTACTCCCGCTCCTCCCGCCTCCCGCTCCTCCTCCTCCTACTCCCGCTCCTACTCCCTATCCTCCTCGTCGCTGTCGTCCTCCTCCCCCTCCCTCTTCCCTATCCTCCTCGTCGCTGTCGTCCTCCTCCTGCTCCCGCTCCTCCCTTTCCTGCTGCCGTCCTGCTGCCCCCCTCCCCGTCCTCACCCGGCCCCGGACTCGAGAGGCTCTCCCGGCAGGCTCCCGCTCCCTCAGAGCGGTGCGCGTCTGATCCAGGCGTCTTCCTGCCGAGGCGTGCCCGACGACAGCAGCCTGCTGGCCATGGCTCTACCCACTACTTTCCGTATCTCTCTCTCTCACTCTGTCTGTCTGCCTGTCTGTCTTCCAGCGTGCGCGCGTGCCTGCTACGCTCTCTGCTGCTGCTCACATCTTCCTCACGACCTCGCGGCAAAACCCCGACATGCATGAGCAAACTGTCAGTCCGCTCGGGCAAGACCAGAGAGAAGGAGCCTTCGGATGACGCCAACACTTCCCCGAGGCTGCCGACATCGCCGGCAGTATCGCCACTCGCCTCCGGGGATGATGCATCAACACATGAGAACATATCATGACTTTTTGCACTGGCTGGCAGCGTTCATGATAAATTCGAAAGGGGATGAACTATGCTAGAACGCTGACGTCACGCTCTGTCTGCACTGCAGAAGCAGAACGAGCAGATCCCGGGCGCGAGGAGCGGTGCATACATTGCAGCACAAGGACAGGGACACCCTCGTTCAGATATCGGACCCTGGACTGCTGACTGATCTCCCTTCTCAAGGAGCTGAAGTGCACACAGCTTGAGGCACGTGCGGAGCTTGCGGAGGCGGGGTGCTGCAGGATACGCAGGCGGAGGGCCAGTGCACCTCTGAGCGCCTCAATCAGCCCGTGAAGCGTCCTGGCAGGCATCCCTTGGGCGCTCCAGCCAGCCTGGGAAGCGTCAATTGCGGCATGTTCGTGTCGTGACGGCTTCAGCGCTGGTCTCTGCCACCGCGTGGATCGCTCAATCGAATACAGTAGGAGCCCGTCCACACGAAACCTTCCACAAGAAACCCAACCCTGAGACCACAGGACGTCCATCTGTTTTTGGTGTGGGAACGTCACGCTTTCCATCGCAGAGCCATCGAAACCCAAGAAACCCAGGGCAACCTGGAGGCGAGCAGGATGTTTCTTGGCATGGGTCTCCACTGTATCCGACGATGTGTTTTGCTCCATGCCGAGACAAGGCCATGACGATGACAATTCGGGGGAGGATAGATCGAGAACATCTCTGAGGTCCGGCGGCTCTGGAGGACGTCTCGGGCGCCGCGGCCTTCTCAGAGCGTTCTGGAACACTCTGAGAGCGTTCCGTAACGCTCTGGAACGGAATGACTCTCGTCCTAGCCCCGTCCGGCATATGCGCGGCCCCAAGGGCCCCGACCGCTTCCCCAGGGCCAACCGTTTCGCCCTGGACTTCGCTTGTTTGCTGGCCCTGGGGCCCGACAACGGACCGGACCCCAAAGGCCCCGAGAGCGAGGAAGGACGCAGACACTGAACAAATCACAGCGTCGGAGAGGAGGATGGGGGAGGAGGAGGAGGAGGAGGAGGAGGAGGAGGAGGAGGAGGAGGAGGAAGAGGAGGAGAGGAGGAGGAGGAGGAGGAGGAGGAGGAGGAGGAGGAGGAGGAGGGAGGAGGCGGAGGAGGAGGAGGAGGAGGAGGAGGAGAGGAGGAGGCGGAGGAGGAGAGGGGGATCGCAGCTCGAGGCGAGGACGGCCTCTCGTGGGAGGGGGCGGCGCCGAGGCCCGCAGCCCGCGCCGCGCGGGCAGCTCAGGGCAGTCCAGCGGCGAGGGCGCCGAAGCGGCCCAGCGCCTCGCCGTAGTGCTCCTCGCCGAAGGCGAAGCTGAGCCGCACGTACGGCACCTCGGGGCGCGGTCCAACGCCGACCCCTTCCCGAGCACGCTCGGGCCGTGACGAAGCTCACACCGAAACGTTCTCGCCTCGCCTCGAGCTGCGATCCCCCCTCCTCCTCCTCCTCCTCCTCCTCCTCCTGCTCCTCCTCCTCCTGCTCCTCCTCCTCCTGCTCCTCCTCCTCCTCCTCTCCTCCTTTGCTTCTGGTCATCTTCGGCCTCGACGGGGCCCTCGCCAAAAGCCCCGGGGCCCTCATGGAGAACCAGCTCGGGATGGAACGCTGGCCCTGGGTCCCGATCACGCTCGGGCCGTGGCGAAACTTCCGCTGGCACGGTCCTGGCCATCTTCGGCCTCGATGGGGCCCTCGCCGAAAGCCCAAGGGCCCTCAGGAACTGGCTCGGGATGAAGCGCCGGCCCTGGGTCGGGACTTCTGGGGGCCCCGCAGCGAAACACTCGATGCCCAGGCCCCCGACGTCGTGAATTTTTCGCAGCGTCGCCCCCCAGAGGTCTCGACCCCTTCCCTGGGACGGGCTTCTCCTCCCGAGTCGTTTTCTGACGCTTCCGAGGCCCGGGAATGGGGCCCCCGGAGGCCGAGAATGGCGTAAAGCCTCCCGTCGTGATTTTTGTCCCAGCGCGAGGGGGAATCGAGGGAGTCGGCCCTGGGGAGGCCGAGAATGGCGCAAAGCCTCCCGTCGTGATTTTCTCACGGCGCGAAGGGGTCTGGGCACCTCCCGTCGCAATGTTTCCTCACAAAGCCAAGGGGCCTGGGTAATTACCTCGCAGGTCTCGGTACCGTGACGAGCCCGCTCCGTGACGACCCCCTCGCCACTGCCGGCCCCCTCCTCCTCCCACAAGAGGTCGTCCTTGCCTCGAGCTGCGATCCCCCCTCCTCCTCCTCCTCCTCCTCCTCCTCCTCCTCCTCCTCCTCCTCCTCCTCCTCCTCCTCCTCCCCCTCCACCTCCTCCTCCCCCTCCTCCTCCTCCGACGCTGTGATTCGAGGAGGAGGAGGGGAGGAGGAGGAGGAGGAGGAGGAGGAGGAGGAGGAGGAGGAGGAGGGGGAGGAGGAGGGGGGATCGCAGCTCGAGGCGAGGACGACCTCTTGTGGGAGGAGGAGGGGGCCGTCGGTGGCTAGGGGGTCGTCACGGAGCGGGCTCGTCACGGTACCGAGACCTGCGAGGTAATTACCCAGGCCCCCTGGCGCTGTGAGGAAACATTGCGACGGGAGGTGCCAGCCCAGACCCCTTCGCGCCGTGAGAAAATCACGACGGGAGGCTTTGCGCCATTCTCGGCCTCCCCAGGGCCGACTCCCTCGACCCCCTCGCGCTGGGACGACAATGGCGACGGGAGGCTTTACGCCACTCTCGGCCTCCAGGGGCCCCGTTCCCGGGCCTCGGGAGCGTCAGAGAACGACTCGGGAGGAGAAGCCGGTCACGGGGAAGGGGTCGAGACCTCCGGGGGGCGACGCTGCGAAATATCATATCACGCCGCGGGGGCCTGGGTCTTCCTCCCGAGTCGTTCGTGGAGGGCCCCCTGGGACGGGAAGCGGCCTCCGGAGGCCGAGCATACGACGAAGAACCAAGCTGCCGCGGTGTCTTTCTGAGCGTTAGAAACCAACAGTCCTGGGTTCGCTAGGGTTACATCGGGCGTGTCCCCCTACAGGGGGATTGTCGACGAAGAATTTACAAATACCCCCAACATATTATTCAAACATGGAAAACAAATGCTGAAACATTGTACTCTTTTTTTCAAAAACAAATATTTTTGAATATTTCTCTTGTAGAGGGACGGGCCCGACTTAACGCTAGGGGCGGGTTTCCTTTCAAAACAGCCGAAGCCCTCCCAAAACCCTCCGAAAGCCATCCGGGAAGGGTTCCGGGAAAGCTTTTGGAGGATGTCGGGAGGGTTTTGGCAGGGTTTCCGTTTTTTTTTGGGGGAGGGAACCAATCCCTACCAAAGCAGCCGCGAAGCCCGCCCGAAACCCTCCGAAAACCATCCGGGAAGGGTTCCGGGAGAACTTTCGGAGGGTGTCGGGAGGGTTTTGGCAGGGTTTCTGTTTATTTTTTTTTTGGGGGGGAAACCAGTCCCTATAGCCAACCCTGGGCTCTCTAATCTCAACGCCCGGACTTGGATCGGGGGCGGCCAACAAGGGGGGGCGCCCAAGAGAAAGAGGGCGCGCAACTCATGGCCGGCGGCATGTGCGCGGCCCAGGGGGCGTCCCAGAGACGTATTAAAATAAGGAGAGGCGCCATGAAATCTAGGGAGATACCATGGCCCCGCCATGATACCCCCCCCCTAGTCGTCACCCCCCCGTTTGCAGCCCCCGAGCCCTAGCGAACAAAAATTGTAACATCGTTGAAAATCTCGGCCCGAGCCCCGGACCCCAACATTCTGCGCTAATTTTCGAGCCGGATCGATCTGTGAGGGCCACGGGGCCCGACAATAAAGGCGAACACTCCCGGCTCGAAACCACTGAGACGCCAGGATCGCAAGCTTTCTACGATTCTATCGCCCTGGATCTGGAGGCACCCTCTGCCGGCACCGGGTTCCCGGGACCGGGACCCCTTCCCCAAGACCGGCTTCTCCTCCTGAGTCGTTCTCTGATGCTCCCGAGGCCCTGGAATAGGATTAGGTCGGGCATGTCCTCCAACAGGCGGATTTTGGACGACAAATCAAGAATACCCCCCAAATGCCCCCAAATAGCCAAAAAAATAATTATAAAATAATCCCCATACTATTTTTAATATATACACACATATATATATATATTTATGAATATGCCTCCTGTAGAGAGGGACAGGCCCGACTTGAGCATAGGGCCCCCCTGGAGGCCGAGAGTGGCGCAAAGCCGCGCGTCGTGATTCTCTCACCACGCTCTGGGGGGTCTTCGCCGTCCCCGACGGGAGGCGCCTCCTGCCCTGGCGGCCGCGGCGCCACCGCGCACGCCGACCCGGGCAGCACCGCGACGCGGTGCCGGCGCATGGCGTCCAGCAGGGCCTCCGTGCTCTCTGGGCAGCGGGCGAGCCTCGCGAGGGCGCGCGGCTCGGGCGGCAGGGCGAGGGGGGCGGCCTTCTCCATCGAGCAGTTTTTTTTTTTTTTTTTTTTTTTTTTTTTTTTTTTTTTTTTTTTTTTTTTTTTTTTTTTTTTTTTTTTTTTTTTTTTTTTTTTTTCTTTTTTTTGATTTGATCTGAGAAATTCCATTGTGGGAGAAATCAACTCAGTAGTCCCCCTGCCTGTTTTTGGGGGGGCGGCCTTTTATCGAGTAGGGGACCGGCTCCATAATTTATTCTAGACCCCAGACTTGATTTGCACGTCGATGCTGGCGAAGGATGGGGTAATGTTCGCATATCTAGGCAAATCATATACAGTTTCCGCAGATTCGACGAAGAAACCAAGTTTTAGGGTAAGTCAAATTCTGCAGTCGATCCCCTGCCTGATTCTTGGGGGGCCCACAGGGGACGCACGCGCCCAGCCGCGCACACGAATGCGGCACCCCCCAGTCCGCGGGGCCAGCCTCGCGTCGCAAACGCTCGCGCCACGCGCACGTTCGAAGCCAGCGTAGACTCGTTCACGTACGCGTCACGTGTACGTCTGACTTTTGAGCACACTTCTGCGGGGGGGGGGGGCCCACGTGCGGCTCAGCCTCGCCCTCATCGAGGAGCACTGCGGCGAGGCGCTGGGCCGCCTCGGCGCCCTCGCCGCAGGGCTGCCCTGAGCTGCCGGCGCGGCGTGGACTTCGGGCCAAATGTGGACTTCGGGCCGTGGCGCCGACCCTCCAACAAAAGCTCAAATCTCCGACGGCTCTGTGGTGTTGGGCCCTCGTTCTGGAGAGACAGCGCCCCGCGTTCTCCTTCCTCCTCCCGGTGCCCCCTCACTCCCCCCCATGTTGGCACACCTTTCACACATTACGTGGCCCCATGGGGAGCTCCACCGAAGGCTCCAACGCTGGTGTTCGCATGCGTCTCCGCCACCCATGTCGGCACACCCCCAACATGTTTCGTGGCCCCATAAGGAGCTCCACCGAAGACCCCAATGTGGGTGTTCGCATGTGTTCTGGCCACCCATGTCGGCACCCCCCTCACACGTTTCGTGGCCCAATAGGGAGCTCCACAGAAGGCCCTGGTGGCGATGTTCGCATGCGTTCCCGCCACCCATGTCGGCACCCCCCTCACACGTTTCGTGGTCCAATAGGGAGCTCCGCAAAAAGCCCCGGTCGCGATGTTCGCATGCGTTCCCGCCACCCATGTTGGCACACCCCTCACAGGTTTGGTGGCCCCAAAGGGAGCTCCACCGAAGGCCCCAGTGGCGATGTTCGCATGCGTCCCCGTCACCCATGTCGGCACCCCCCTCACTCGGTTCGTGGCCCCATAGGGAGCTCCACCGAAGGCCCCGAATGGCGGTGTCCGCATCCACGTCGGCACACCCCTCACACCTTTCGTGGCCCCACAGGGAGCTCCACCGAAGGCCCCTCAGCGGCGGTGTTCACATGCGCCCGCCTCACCCGTTCGTGACATCCCTCACGCGTTTCGTGGCTCCATAGGGAGCTCCGCCGAAGACCCACCTACCTTGCGGTACTCGCGTCCGCAAATGGTGGGGTCCTTCGCCATTTTTTTGTTGTTTTTTGAATTCATGGTGTTTTTTCATTGATTTCGGCCCCTGGGGCCGGTCGTCGGGACCTGGGTCCCGGGAGCTATCAAAAACGTATCCGGGATGGAAACCTGGCCCCAGGCAAGCGGCCGGGACTTCCTTGACATCCTCGCGTCGTGAAAAAAACACGCCAGAGATTTTTGGCAATCTTTGGCCTCAAAAGCCCTCGCAAGGCCCTGGGGCCGTTCAACACTGTCTCGGGATGGAACGTCGGTCTCTGGGGAGGGAGCCACGATGTAAAACACCGACGACGTCGGACGTCTGGGTTCTCAAAGGGATCAGCCCCTCAGTCGCTCCTGAGAAGGCGGGAGGTCTTCCGCGGCGCGGGTGGGCCTCTCAGAAAGCCGCCCAGCCGCCCCCCTGGG